GTCTTTGATACTTAAATTTTTACAAACAATTTTATAAAAAATAAGTATTAGAATAGTCCATTACCTTTTTAGGCATTGTATAAGATTATATAGGATATATCTTTAAATATTATTTATCAGATATTTTCAAGTATTGAGAAAACTTTTTCATAAACATTTTATCTGGTTTCTTTTCTAAAAGGTTAATATATAAAAAAACTATGTGGTTCATCAGTGGCGGTCTCATATATTTTATAAATTAGTTTCTTGCTTTCGTGTAAATTATCGCTTCTAACAATTGCCGATAATTCATCTTGTAATATTTCTATTTCTTTAGAATTTCTAACTTTATAATAAAACAAATGACTTATATTTACTCTAATAATTGGTGGGACACTTGATGATTTCTGAAGACTGACAAGCGTTGATATTCCACTATGACGTCCCCTACAGAATAAAGAATTTAACAATTTGTTATTTCTTGTTATTGCTGGGTTATCAGATACATCATCCAATATAACTAATATATTAAATAACTTCTTCATTCCTTGTTTTTTCTGGTATTCAATTATTTTATTTTGAGTTTCTATAACTCTTTCTAAATCTTCAACATTGAACTCATCCCACCAACACGGTTCTTTATCAGTATCTACTTTCAAACCTTCCTTAATGTATTTCTTCACTGGCAACCAAATACTATCCAAATTTACAGATGGGGACCAGATAAAAATTCTTTCGTATGCACCTCTATAAATATCAAGTATCATTGATACAAGTAAAGTTGATTTTCCTGAACCAGACGGACCTACAATCATAGCTCTCATAGGCAATTTAGGGACGACCTCGTGCTTACTTTGTTTAAAGTCATATTTGGTTTCATCAATTGGTTTTACATCAGGCATAATAAAAGTAATATTAAAGACATTTAGAAAATAATTTAATATGTATTATTTTATATGAATAGAAGTTATTCAGATTATATTGATATAATAGATGAAGTAGAGAATATAGAACAAGTTGTTATAACTGATAATAGATTTAAGAAAGTATGCTATTTTGTTTTAGAATTAATTAAGTTTGTGATACAATATATTAAACATATAAATATTAATATAGATGGGGAGAAAGAAAAAGAATAAGACCGAGCCAGTTGTTTCTTCAACTGAAAGAAAAAGAAGAAATTGTTAAAGAAACATCAGTTATTGAGTTTGCTTGTCCATTGTGTAAAAAAATCTTAGAAATGAAGAATGAATTAGAAATACAAAAGAAAGGAAACTGTAAATGTTCGTGTATTCCGACAAGTTTCAAAATAAGTAGAAATGATAAGAAAATGAATATTGATAAAACTAAAGACAGTATCAACTTAGAAACAGATGTTCATAATATTACATTTAAATGGGGTCGGAACGCTACTCCATCCGATAATGGAGAAAACGAAACACAGGAAACTGTTAAACAAATAATGAAAAATTAGTATTTAAAGAATAGATTTAACATAATTGCAACATTTAGTTTTAAAAGTTTAGTTTTATAATATAGTATATATATATATGGAAGAACATTTAGAGAACATTGACAGTAGTTTGGAGTTGTTGTTTCCAAAATTGAAGAAGTGTTGGAGCAAAATGAAAACATACTGAAAACCTTAAAGAGCATGAATATTAAACCTACATATAATAACAATAACAATTATCAAGCAAAAGAAGTAGATAGAGACAGTAGCGAATACAAAAATAAACGAAACATTTATGTTAAAAAACTGAATGAAAAAGTCATAAAAGAACCTAAACAATCAAGTCTGGATTACTATCAAGTCAAGTATAAAGAAGATACCAAGAAATACGTTTAATCATTAACTAACAAAATTTCGTGTCTCAAAAGCGGTTTGTTTATTCCTGCTACTTTGTAAGTTTTATTACCCATAATATCATATTCAATTTTATCAATATTGAATATTTTATTAGACCATTTAGAGTTATACTCCTTTCTGTCGGTGTAATTACCCCTTTTCTTTTGGAACACTTTTACCTTGTCGTTCTCCTCTATTTTGGGATACTTTCTTTTGTTTTTTTCTCGTAGTTTAAGATTGACCTTTACATTTATTTCATTGTCGTCCTTGTGTGCTTCAGACGGCGCCATCCTTGTTGATGAGTGAGATGTGCTGTTATACTGTTTCAATGCTTGCGTTAGGGCATCGGTCCATTTCATGTTGTTAAACCTAACTCTATCGTGAATTTTGTTTTTCATCGTTCTAATAAAACGCTCGGCCACATTTGCGTGGGTCTTCGTGACGATGTGGTTTATTCCTTCACTGTTGAAGAAATCCTGAACTTGATTTTTAGTTGCAAACGCTCCGTCGTCATCAGAATACACGGACATCGGATAACCCATCTTTTTAAAGCTTGCTCTCAACGCCTTCAAAACGTGCTCTCCGTCTCTTTCCTCCATCGGTATTACATCTGCTAATTTACTGAAGATGTCAATCACGACTAAAGCATACTGTGGAACGTTCTTGTCTTTTGCTAAAGGCGACATATGCATTATGTCTATTTGATATTCATATCGTGCGAATGGAGCGGTATAGGAATTAGTACCTCTATAATTTTTGATTTGTTTATTTGGTTGTTTCTTCAAGAAAGACTTTACATCGTCTATTGTTATTGTTGGGTCTTCTTCCTTTGCCTTCTTGTGTGTCGCTTGTATGCTTCCGAAACCCTCGTCTAAGTCGTAATAGATGTTGCTGATTATTTGGTCTTTTGTTAATCTCGCCATTATATTAAGTTGTTAGAAAATATTTTTTCAATATAAACCCCCACCCCTCAACATAAAATAAAAAACTACTTAAAGAAAAATGGATATAATATAGTAAGAGAAAAAAATGACACTGTTTAATTATGACCATTGTCCTTGTAAAAATAAATGTAAGTCTGTCGTGGCACTAGGTAATATTTTACCTGTTGATGTGTGTAATCTTATAGGAGGCTATATTAGAGAAACATGTTTTGATTGTTGGTATTTGATGGATGAAGAAGAAAATTTTAAGAGAAATAAAGACATTCCTGAAGAAGGACTGGAAAAGCAGAACTTCAATTAAACATTATTAAACAAATGCAAAATAATGTGCAAAATAATGATATTACACAACTAACAGGATACCATTTTAGTTTAAAACATTACAGAAAAACATTGACAGAGTATTTGATATACAAGAAGTTAAAGAACGGTTTAAAAATAGAAAAATGTATTATCAAGCATTAAAATCATACTGTAAGAATAATGAATATGAAGTTTGTTTAGTTTTAAGACATTGTCTTAACATTGAAGATTTAAAAACAATTAAACGTTGTGGGTTTAGCTTTCCAAACCTAAACAGTTGGTGGTCATATAGAAATAACAATTATTATATGAGATATATTCTTAGCGAATTAATTGACATTTACATAGACCAATTAATAAAAGGATACGAGCATTATTGTTGCGAGTATAGTATGAGTTGTTATAGTGGTTGTATCGCTGGTGAGATTGAATATGGGTCAAATTAACTTTTGTTTATTAATATTATTATCTTATAATATGATTAAACATTGTTTTATAATCTAACAAGAAGGTTAAGACATTTAAATTTAACATGAAACCCAGACCAGCCGACCAGCAACCCCTAGCCAAAACTACTTAAAGAAATATTAACTTATATATAAAGAGAAAAATGAGCGAGGGTAAAATGTCAGATAATAATTTTATGGTTGAGAATTGTGCTAGCTTACCTGTTGATGTATTAAAAGGTATCATTTCATATAAATTAGGGGAACCTGAGTATTTGAAAATAAAACACAATCATATTAAGTCATTAAAGAGAATACAACAACAATATAAAATAAACAGAACAGAAACAAAAAGAAAGACAAAGCGCTATACTGTTGAAGATGGCGATGATATAAAGAGACACGTAATTGAGTATTACATTTCAAGAAATATACCCTTAAGCATTAAAAGCATTGAAGATATAGCTTTTAATGAAAATGAAAACTTAGATTGTTTGTTAGATGGTATTGAAACCGTTAACGGATATGAAGCAGTGATAATAGTTGAGGTAAATATGTTTGTAAGGTTTCATCATTTCAATTATGAAGACGACCATTTTAACACTTTTAGTTTTCATTTTCGTAGTGATGATTTTGTAGATAACATAACCATAGATAATATAACCGAAGTAATGATAGAGGCGCATCAAACAATATACAGATGTATTGATAGAGAAAGAAGTAGAATGAATTTTGGAGGAGTACAAAACATAAGGTTTAAACTAATTGTTGATGAACCTGTGTAATTCATAACTACACCATAATTATAACATTTATATTCTTATATGTTATAATTATACTGAACTTTTAACCTATAAATGAAAATTCGTGAGAAAAATACTAACAAAACAAATGCACCACCAACACCCCAGAACTTGATAACGACTAAAAGGGCCAACTCTTTCAAATGAAAAACATGTCGGCCCCCAGAAAATCCACCCCTAACACCCTACAACAAAATATAGGATGAAATCAAACAAGGGTGTTAAAACGTTGGATAACAACATTTGACCCAATAACCCCAACACTCCTCCCTCTTCTCCCCAGGCCCCCCCTTTTCTCCATTTTTTGGGGAACCCTGGGGCCCCTAGGGCAGACTTCGGTGGTCGTTTTGCAGACTAAGGTTGCCTAGGCTGGAAGGCGGCCTTCTGAATCATGTCAATAGCCAAGTGAGTCCGGATTCCCACACATGCTGTTTGACAATGAGCAACCACGTGTTGGTCCTGGTGTGCACTTCTTGACGGAGAGAATGCTGCTACGCTGCAGCAGTGTCTCAAGGCAGAAGCAGGCCTCAAGTCACCGAAACATGTTTGCATGTTGGACCGCTCCGTTCACTTTCAAAGCGCCACGCAAAAGCCGTGCACGAGCTGTTCGGATCCCAAGAGGTCATTCGTCCAAGCCGTCCCCCGACCCACCCATGGACCCCCTCGCCGCACCGAGGTCCGGATGGTGCCCGGGGCCTGGCAGACGGGCTCCAAGGCCTGGCACAGCTGCAGCAGCTGTCGCTGAATCTGAGAGAGAACAAGATCGGCCGGGAAGCCCAGGCAGGGCAGGCGCGGGGCAGCGGCGCAGCTTGCGTACACTTTGACTTTCACAAAGTGCACTTCTGTTGGTACGTTGGACCATGTATTCCATTCACATGTACTCAAAAGCTGCAGTGCGAGAGTCCGCATCCTAAGAGGTCATTAGCCCAAGCCCGTCCACACCCGAGGTTCGGATGGCGCCCGGGCCCTGGCGGAGAGCCTTCGGGGCCTGGCGCAGCTTCAGCAGCTGACGCTGGATCTGAGAAAGAACGAGATCGGCCGGGAAGCCCAGGAGGCAGAGGCGGGCGAGGAGCAGCTTAAGCTCCGCGGTGCGGTGCGCCGGGTGGGGCTGAGGAAGCTTGATTTGTATTTGCATCGGACCTTTCAGGGACTCCTGGAAGAATACTGGTGCTGGAGGCTATTGTTGGGTGTTATATTGCGCAATGTACTTCTTCGCCAGTCGAGGTTGTTCTTGCGCCGGTGTGGAGGCTAAAGGTCTCAAGAGCTCCAAAAGCAGGACCGCCACATGCCTGCTCACACATGCGCACGGGAACACGACAGATTGATGAAAAGGTCGCTTCAAGCAAAGTATGTCAGGGATTCGGACATGGCGGAGGCAGCGGTTTTGCCGTATAGTCGGACTGAAACGAAGCTACTGCTGGGTGTTTGTTTTCATTGTGCAATATACTTCCTCGCTAGTTGGTCTCGCGCCTGTACCAGGTTTTGTCAAGCGCAGGCAAACTTGAAGGCTAAGTGCTTTGTGCTCATGTCGCGTATCATCGGCGTCGCAGTGTGCTCGGTTTCAGCATGTTTTCTAAGAGGCAGGGAAGGTGGGAATCCCGGGGTCGTTGCGCTCTCTGAATCATGGCAATATTTGAGCAAGGCCGCGCTGTTTCAGAAAATGAGCAATCTTTTGCCCTGTCAATAGCCACAAACGGTTGGCCTTGTGATGGCAACCTGATGTGAGATAGATGGGCCTTTGATGGCCTTTGGCTGGCACACCCTCTTGGGATATTGGAACGCCCAATCTTGTCGCCTGCAAGCGCGGAATCACATAAATTTGAAGGTCTAGACTCCAGATTGCTTGCTGCTGCCGAGTCTTGTTTGTATGTCCGCATATCTCCAGACAGTATTGGTTTCTCCTTAGGATTTCTTCATTTTTCTTTGGGAGCAGCTTGGAGTGACTGGACGTTTGGAGCTCAGTTTCGAAGGCCCAGCTGCCCCTGTCCGTGTTTTTCGCCCTTCTTGTTTGGCCGCTTTCACTTGTTTGTGGACCATCCAGCTTCGCAGAGTGTCAGAAGCAAGCAATCAGGCAAGTTCAATTTCCTTTGAGGGCGCACTGAGCAGGGGGGGGGGTTCAATTGTCAAAGCCCGTGGACTGCTGGCGCACGCGGCTGTTGCATCGATACACAGACGGGGTGCGCCTTTCTTCAGCTGTCATCCTGCAGCGCCAAAGTTTAATCGACTCCGCAATTGTTGTAGCAGAGGCCAGCGCTCAAGCCCAAGTCCACTGTTGAGTGTTGCGTTGCGCAATATACTCCTCGCCTGTCGAGGTTTTTCTTGCGCCCGTGCCAGGTTTTGTCAAGCGCAGGTTTGTGCTCTCGTTGCATATCATGGGCTCCGTCATGTAATTTTCTGTGTGTTCGGTTCCAACACGTTTTTGCCCTGGCTTTGCAACACAAGGCAGGCTCGGGGAAAGGGGATCCTGGAACCCTAGCGCAGACAAGACAGATTTCGGTGGCCGTTTTGCGGTGGCCGTTTTGCAGTTTTCCGCTCGCAGGCTCGGAATCGTGAAGTTTGATATCTGCAGCAGTTCTTGAAGCCACACGTAGGTCCTGAGTCAGACCAAACTGGCAAGTTTGGATTTCAGAGGAAGATGCCTTGTGCATATGCTGATTTCAATAGGCTGTGTTGCAATGAAAAGGCTTTGCGTGCACGTTGACTTGTGAGAAGTGTGTCCTCATCTCCTCCTGCGGCGCTTATCCGAAACATGTTCGTATGTTGGACCGCTGCGTTCCCGTTAAAATGTGCCACTCAAAAGTTGCAGCAGAGACGTCCGTCAGTCCAAGCCGTCCGCCCCGCCCTGCCCCTGCCCTGCTCGCCACTCCAAGGTCTGGATGGTTTGCGGAGCCTGGTAGAGGGGCTCCGAGGCCTGGTGCAGCTGCAGCAGCTGACGCTGGATCTGGAATGTAACGAGATCGGCCGGGAAGCCCAGAGCAATTTATATGTGTGTTCGGTTTCAACATGTTTTAGAAAAGGCGGGGAAGGCAGGAATCTGGGGTCGTTTCGTTTGAAATGCTAGTTTTGCAGATGAGGTTGCCCGAGCTCTGCGAATCATGGCAATATCCGAGCAAGGCGCTGTTTCAGAATAGCCGCAAATGTGTGATGGTAAGCTGATGTGAGATAGATGGGCCTTTGGCTGGCGCACCTCTTGGGGCGGATTGGGACATATTTTGGACTAGATAGTTCAATATTGATTTTTTTCTGTAGGATTTCTGTGACTGGGCGTTTTGGAGCTCAGCTTCGAAGACCGAGCTGCCTTTCTCTTGACCACCTCTTAGCTTCGTTTACCTGTCTCTTGACCACCCAGCTTGCCAGCGCACCTCCTCCAAACCTCAAGGTTCGGTGCTCTGGTCGCAGAGCTTGAGGCTCGACCTCCTCCGCCCCACCTGCCCGCCTCCAAGTAACAAATTACTGCGTTGCGGTCAGAACCTACGAGCCGCCTCGGGACTCAACAAGGGTGTGTAGTAGTATCTCACGCCACACGCAGGGAGTGCCAAAGTCAGACCAAGCTGGCAAGTTTCGACGTCATAGGAGGACCCTTGTACTTGTATATGCTGATTTCACAACCAACAGGCTAAGCATGTATTGCAAAGGAAAGGCCTTGTGTACACGTTGACTTGCCAAACATGCATTCATGTTTGTTTGTTGTTAGACAATTTGTCCCATTCACATGTACTCTGAAGCTGCAGTGTGGGTGTCCGCATCCCAGGAGGTCATCAGTCCAAGCCGTCCGCCCCCGAGGTCCGGATGGCGCCCGGGGCCTGGCAGACGGGCTCCAAGGCCTGGCGCAGCTCCAGCAGCTGACGCTGAATCTGTGGGGCAACAAGATCGGCCGGGAAGCCCAGGAGGCAGAGGCGCCGGGGCGAGGCGCAGCTTGCGCTGCGTGGTGCCATGCGCCGGATAGGGCTGAGGATAGGAAACTCGATGTGTGTTTGCATCGGACATTTCAGGGACTTCCGGAGGAATGCTGTTGCTGAAAGGCCACAAGTTTGAAGAGCTCCGAAAGCAGGGTACTCGTATTGCCTGCTGACGCATGCTCCCGGGAACAAGACAGATTGATGAAAAGGCTGCTTCAAGCAAAGAGTTTCAGGAATTCGGACATGGCGGAGGCGCCGTATAGTCGGACTGAAACGAAGCCACTGCTGGGTGTTTAATTTCATTGTGCAGTATACTTCCTCGCTAGTTGGTTGTGCGCGTGTACAAGGTATTTTCAAGCGCAGGCCAGCTTGAGAGCTAAGCGCTTTGTGCTCACGTCGCGTATCATCGGCGCCGCCATTAATATGTGTTCGTTTCCAGTATGTGTTTTGCACCTGCCTTTGCAACAAGAGGAGAGAGGACTCCTGGGTCAAAGAACGACAGGCCAGGCAGATTTCGCTTGATATGGTCAGGTAGCTTGGCAGAGGTGAGGTTGCCTGAGGCTTATGGGTAGAAGGCGGCTCTCCGAATCATGTCAATACCGGCAAAAACCATACATGGTTGGCCCTGTGGTGGCAAGATGATGTGAGATAGATGGGCCTCTGGTTGGCGTGCCTTCTTGGGGCGGAATGGAACTTGGGCATTTGGGACTGGATAGTTCAGTTGTCACTTCCATGTTTTTCTTTTCTCTCGCAAGCTCAGAATCAATCGAAGTTGAAAGTCTAGACTGCTGCTGCTGAGTCTTGTTTTGTACGACAGCATACCCAGGCAATCATGTTTCTTTTCCTTAGGATTTCATCAAATGTGTCGTGGAGAGGGACCGTTTTGGAGGTCAGTTTCGAAGGCCAAGCAAGCTGCCCCTGCCTGTGCTTTGCGCCTTTCTTGTTTGCGCGCGCTTTTATTTGTCTCTTGACCATCCAGCTTTGCAGAGGGTCAGAAGCAAGCAATCAAGCGTGTTTAGCTTCCTTCGAGGGGGCACTAAGCAGAGGGTTTCAATGCTTCATTTGCCTGAGGGCCGCAGACGGTGTGTGCCCTGTCAAGCAGATCTGTTCGCAAGTTATGATCACGGCTAAAGGAGCCTCCACCCAGCAGCCTTCCTTGATGTTCTCATTGATCTGGCCAGCGGCCCCAAACTTTTGCTTTTGGGCCCTTCAGCAACTGCGCCACATCGTCAGCCATGAGGCGCCTCCTCTCCCGGCCAAGTACCTCATCCAGCAATACCCTTCCCTTCGCCGTCGCATCATAGACTTGTACCCAACGCTGGCCTCTTTCTGGCCGTGCGAACATCTTGGTTTTCACCCTATCCTCCCCTAGCCCTTTCCTCCGCCCGATCCCAAGCCATCACCAGCAGTCACGCGCTCACGCAGGGCATCTTCCACGTGCTGCCTTTTCCTTGCCGCTCGGCACGGCTTGTGCGCTATCTCAGCCCCGGCTACAGCCGTCATCCCAAGTCTTGTCACCTCAGCGTGGCATCCCTCGGCTAGCAAGGCTTGGCCAGCGCACCTCCTCCAAACCTCAAGGTTCGGTGCCTGGTCGCAGAGCTCGAGGCTCGACCTCCTCTTCCCCACCTCGCTTGCACCTCCGCAACCGGCCGCCTGCCTCCTCATGAGCAAACGGATCTGCCCGCCGCAGGGAGTGCCAAAGTCAGACCAAGCTGGCAAGTTTCGACGTCATAGGAGGACCCTTGTACTTGTATATGCTGATTTCACAGCCAACAGGCTAAGCGTGTGTTGCAAAGGAAAGGCCTTGTGTACACGTTGACTTGCCAAACATGCATTCATGTTTGTTTGTATGTTAGACAATTTGTCCCATTTCAAAAGCTGCAGTGTGGGTGTCCGCGCCCCAGGAGGTCATCAGTCCAAGCCGTCCGCCCCCGAGGTCCGGATGGCGCCCGGGGCCTGGCAGACGGGCTCCAAGGCCTGGCGCAGCTCCAGCAGCTGACGCTGAATCTGTGGAACAACAAGATCGGCCGGGAAGCCCAGGAGGCAGAGGCGCCGGGGCGAGGCGCAGCTTGCGCTGCGTGGTGCCGTGCGCCGGATAGGGCTGAGGATAGGAAACTCGATGTGTGTTTGCATCGGACATTTCAGGGACTTCCGGAGGAATGCTGTTGCTGGAGGCCACAAGTTTCAAGAGCTCCGAAAGCAGGACAGCCACGCATGCGCCTAAAAACAAAAATCTGATGAAAAGGCTGCTTCAAGCAAAGAGTTTCAGGAATTCAGACATGGAGGAGGCGCCGTATAGTCGGACTGAAACGAAGCCACTGCTGGGTGTTTCATTGTGCAGTATACTTCCTCGCTAGTTGGTTGTGCGCGTTTACAAGGTATTTTCAATCGCAGGCCAGCTTGAGAGCTAAGTGCTTTGTGCTCACGTCGCGTATCATCGGCACCGCCATTAATATGTGTTCGTTTCCAGCATGTGTTTTGCACCTGCCTTTTCAACAAGAGAGAGAGGACTCCTGGGTCAAAGAACGACAGGCCAGGCAGATTTCGCTTGATATGGTCAGGTAGCTTGGCAGAGGATGAGGTTGCCTGAGGCTTCTGGGTAGCTCCGAATCATGTCAATACCGGCAAAAACCATACATGGTTGGCACTTGGGCACTTGGGACTGGATAGTTCAGTTGTCACTTCCATGTCTTTTTCTCTCGCAAGCTCAGAATCAAACGAAGTTGAAAGTTTAGACTGCTGCTGCTGAGTCTTTTTTGTACGACAGCATACCCAGGCAATCATGTTTCTTTTCCTTAGGATTTCATCAAATGTGTCGTGGAGAGGGACCGTTTTGGAGGTCAGTTTCGAAGGCCAAGCAAGCTGCCCCTGCCTGTGCTTTTGCGCTTTTTTTTGTTTGCGCCCGCTTTGACCTGTCTCTTGACCATCCAGCATTGCAGAGGGTCAGAAGCAAGCAATCAAGCGTGTTTAGTTTCCTTCGAGGGGGCACTAAGCAGAGGGTTTCAATGCTTCGGTTGCCGGAGGCCGCAGACGGTGTGTGCCCTGTCAAGCAGATCTGTTCGCAACTTACGACCACGGCTAAAGGAGCCTCCACCCAGCAGCCTTCCTTGATGTTCTCATTGATCTGGCCAGCGGCCCCAAACTTTTGCTGTTGGGCCCTTCAGCAACTGCGCCACATTGTCAGCCATGAGGCGCCTCCTCTCCCCAGCAAGTACCTCATTCAGCAACACCCTTCCCTTTGCCGTCGCATGATAGACTTGTACCCAACGCTGGCCTCTTTCTGACATCTTGGTTTTCACCCTATCCTCCCCTAGCCCTTTCCTCCGCCCGATCCCAAGCCATCACCAGCAGTCACGCGCTCACGCAGGGCATCTTCCACGTGCTGCCTTTTCCTTGCCGCTCGGCACGGCTTGTGCGCTATCTCAGCCCCGGCTACAGCCGTCATCCCAAGTCTTGTCACCTCAGCGTGGCATCCCTCGGCTAGCAAGGCTTGGCCAGCGCACCTCCTCCAAACCTCAAGGTTCGGTGCCTGGTCGCAGAGCTCGAGGCTCGACCTCCTCTTCCCCACCTCGCTTGCACCTCCGCATCCGGCTGCAGCTTCCAAGCTTTGTTTCAGAAATGGTGAACCGTCCCTGTCTCCTAGCCGCAAGTCGACGCGTTATGGGAATTGCGCCGTTGCCAACATCGTCATCGACACGGGGCGGAGGCTTGAAGACGGAGCCGCAGTGAGGATAGGTCCACGACTGGCAAAAGGCATCCAACAAATGAATCCACCGTGCCCATGGACTTTGGCTGTCGCATCGATATTAGACAAGGCGCGATTTCTCTTCAGCCGTCATCCTGCAGCGCCAAAGGTCAAGCGACTCCGCGCTAGTCGTAGCGGAGGCCAGTGCTCCAGCCGTCCAAGTCCGAGTCTTGCCCTTGGCTTCTTTGTGATTTTTAAGGTGCCCAGAAGGGGGGTTCTCTTGCTTCTTTGCATGCGTGGGCCTTTCTGAGCCTTTAGCCAAACAAGCAACTCGTTCAGCAGGTCGTGCGCGCAACTCCGCTTCTTTTCTTTCTGGCCCAGTTCATACGCGCTTCAGTTCGTGGAGAGGGATGGTTTCGTAGCTGGCCCCAGACCGTTAAGATTCTTTCTCATCTTGGCGGGGACAAAGGAGCCTGAATCCTCCACCCAGCAGCGCCTTGCTTGGTGTTCTTGTTGATGCAGCTGGCGGGCGGCCTGGGCGCTCTCGCTTTGGGGCCCTTCAGCAACTGCGCCACATCGTCGTCCAAGAGGCATCTCCTCTTGCCAATTCCTTCACTTCCGTCGCACACCCTTGCTCCCCGCTGGCCCCTTCTCACGTTTGCGGCCCTGCAAACATCTCGGCTTTCACCCTGTCCTTCTCCTGCCCTTTCCTCCGCCCGATCCCAAACCCAAACCGACCAGCGGCAGGCCTGTGTCGCCAGCAGTCACTTGCCCAACCACCCGCGCCTCACGTAAGTCATCTTCCGCGTCATTATTTTTCCTTGTCGCTTACCTTCTGGGTGCCTCTCATGTATACGCCCTGTCCACAGCCGTCATCCCAGGTTTTTTTGAAGGCTCGCAGCGCACTTCCTTCAAACCTCAAGCTTCAGTGCTCGGGTCGCAGAGTTTGAGGCTCGACCTTGTCCGCCCCACCTCCCTTTCCACCTCCATGACCGGCAGCCTGCCTCCTCATGAGCAAACAGATCTGCCCGCCTCCAAGTAACTAACTACTGCGCCGCGGCCAGAACCTACGAGCCGCCTTGGAGTTAACAAGGGTGTGCAGCAGTTTCTCACGCCACACGCAGGGAATGCCAAAGTCAGACCAGGCTGGCAAGTTTCGATTTCAGAGGAGGACCCTTGTATATGCAGGCCAAGCATGTATTGCAAAGGAAAATGCATGTGTATGCATTGAATTTTGGTGCGTTCCTATATGCGAGTGTCCACATTTCAGGAGGTCATCAGTCCAAGCCGTCCGCCCCCGAGGTCCGGATGGCGCCCGGGGCCTGGCAGACGGGCTCCAAGGCCTGGCGCAGCTCCAGCAGCTGACGCTGAATCTGTGGGGCAACAACATCGGCCGGGAAGCCCAGGAAGCAGAGGCGCCGGGGCGAGGCATGGCGCCGGGTGGGGCTTAGCAGGGGACCTCGTTTGCGTTGGACCTTTTTGAGACTTCCAGGGAAATACTGTTGCTGGAGGCCGCGGGTTTCAAGAGCTCCAAAAGCAGATTGATGAAAAGGCTGCTTCAAGCAAGCGTTTCAGGAATTCGGACATGGCGGAGGCGCCGTCTAGTCGGACTGAAACGAAGCCACTGCTGGGTGTTTAATTTCATTTTGCGCAGTATACTTCCTCGCTAGTTGGTTCTCGCGCGTATCCAGCATTTTCAATCGCAGGCCAGCTTGAGGGCTAAGTGCTTTGCGCTCACGTTGCGTACCATCGACGCCGCCATGTATTTGTGTTTTCGGTTCCAGCATGTGTTTTGCACCTGGCTTTTCGGAGGAATTTTGGGTCAATAGAACAAGAGACCAGGCAGATTTTGCTTGATATGGTCAGGTAGTTTTGCAGCGGTTGAGCTAAGGCGGCTCTCCGAATCATGTCAATAGCTGAGCAAGCCCCCGCCTTGCGACCTGTTGTTTGAGACATGAGCCATCTTTTGCCCCGGCAAAATCACACATGGTTGGCCTTGTGGTGGCAAGATGATGTGAGATAGATGGGCCTCTTTGGTGCATGGTTTTGTCTCTTGCAAGCTCCAACCAGATGAAATCGAAAGTCTAGACATCAAATGTGTCGTGGAGGTGCATGGTTTTGTCTCTTGCAAGCCCCGAACCAGATGAAATCGAAAGTCTAGACATCAAATGTGTCGTGGAGAGGGACCAGCTGCGAGGGACTGGGCGTTTTGGAGGTCAGTTTCGAAGGCCAAGTAAGCTGTAAGCAGGGTTTTAATGCTTCAGTTGGCTGCAGACGGTGCGTACCCTGTCAAGCAGATATGTTCGCTTCCAAGCTTTGTTTCACAAATGGTGAACATGGTCTTAACCGTCCCTGTCTCTTAGCCGCAAGTCGACGCGTGATGGGAATTGCGCCGTTGCCAACATTGACACGGGGCGGAGGCTTGAAGACGGAGCCGCAGTGAGGATGAGTCCACGACCTCGTTCAGCAGGTCGTGCGCGCAACTCCGCTTCTTTTTTTTCTGGCCCAGTTCATACGCGCTTCAGTTCGTGGAGAGGGATGGTTTCGTAGCTGGCCCCAGACCGTTAAGATTCTTTCTCATCTTGGCATCCTCCACCCAGCAGCCTTGCTGGGTGTTCTTGTTGATGCAGCTGGCGGGCGGCCTGGGCGCTCTCGCTTTGGGGCCCTTCAGCAACTGCGCCACATCGTCGTCCAAGAGGCATCTCCTGTTGCCAATTCCTTCACTTCCGTCGCATCGTGCCCTTGCTCCCCGCTAGCCCCTTCTCACGTTTGTGGCCCTGCAAACATCTCGGCTTTCACCCTGTCCTTCTCCTGCCCTTTCCTCCGCCCGATCCCAAACCCAAACCGACCAGCGGCAGGCCTGTGTTGCCAGCAGTCGCTTGCCCAACCACCCGGGCCTCACGTAAGTCATCTTCCGCGTCATTATTTTTCCTTGTCGCTCACCTTCTGGGTGCCTCTCATGTGTACGCCCTGCCCACAGCCGTCATCCCAGGTTTCTTTTCCAGGCTCGCAGCGCGCTTCCTTCAAACCTCAAGCTTCAGTGCTCGGGTCGCAGAGTTTGAGGCTCGACCTTGTCCGCCCCACCTCCCTTTCCACCTCCATGACCGGCAGCCTGCCTCCTCATGAGCAAACAGATCTGCCCGCCTCCAAGTAACTAACTACTGCGCTGCGGCCAGAACCTACGAGCTGCCTCGGAGTTAACAAGGGTGTGCAGCAGTTTCTCACGCCACACGCAGGGAATGCCAAAGTCAGACCAGGCGGGCAAGTTTCGATTTCGTTGACTTGCACAAAGTGCACTTATGTTGTTGAACCATTTTGGTGCGTTCCTATATGCGAGTGTCCACTTTCAGGAGTGCAGCCCAAGCCGTCCACCCCCGAGGTCCGGATGGCGCCCGGGGCCTGGCGGAGGGCCTCCGCGGCCTGGTGCAGCTCCAGCAGCTGAAGCTGAGCCTGGAATTCAACAAGATCGGCCGGGAAGCTCAGGGGGGGAAAGGCGCCGGGGCGAGGCACGGCGCCGGGTGGGGCTTAGCAGGGGACCTCGTTTGCGTTGGACCTTCCTGAGACTTCCGGGAAAATACTGTTGCTGGAGGCCACAGGTTTCAAGAGCTCCAGAAGCAGGACAGCCACATGCCTGCTCATACATGCGCCCAGGAGCAAGACAGATGAATGAAAGGGCCGCTTCAAGAAAAGCATTTCAGGGATTTGGACATGGCGGAGGCAGCGGTTTTGCCGTATAGTCGGACTGAAACGAAGCTACTGCTGGGTGTTTGTTTTCATTGTGCAATATACTTCCTCGCTAGTTGGTCTCGCGCCTGTACCAGGTTTTGTCAAGCGCAGGCAAACTTGAAGGCTAAGTGCTTTGTGCTCATGTCGCGTATCATCGGCAGTGTGCTCGGTTTCATCATGTTTTCTAAGAGGCAGGGAAGGCGGGAATCTGGGGTCGTTTCGTTTGAAATGCTAGTTTTGCAGATGAGGTTACCTGAGCTCTCTGAATCAATGCCCTGTCAATACGATTGGCCTTGTGATGGCAACCTGATGTGAGATAGATGGGTCTTTGATGGCCTTTGGCTGGCACACCTTCTTCGGATTGGAACGCCCAATCTTATCGCCTGCAAGCGCAGAATCACATAAATTTGAAGGTCTAGACTCCAGATTGCTTGCTGCTGCCGAGTCTTGTTTGTATGTCCGCATATCTCCAGACAGTATTGGTTTCTCCTTAGGATTTCTTCATTTTTCTTTGGGAGCAACGACTGTCGAAAGGCATCCAACAAATGAATTCACCGTGCCCATGGACTTTGGGCACCCTGTCGCATCGATATAGACAAGGCGCGCCGCCTTCTCTTCAGCTGTGATCCTGCAGCGCCAAAGTTCAATCGACTCGGCGATTGTCGTAGCGGAGGCCAGTGCTCAAGCCGTCCGAGTCCGAGGCTTGCCCTTGGCTTCTCTGTGATCCTTGGAATTGACAAGGCTCATTTCCATTGAAGCGGAAGTTGCGACAACTTGGAATGGACATTTGGCGCAGCGCGGCGCAAGCAGAAGGTTGCTTGAGTTTCAAGTTCGAGGGTGGCTTTCCCACGCATTTCCGTCAAACCGAGCGAGGCTGCGACCCGCTGCATGCCTCAATCTCAGGGACGGCCTTCCTCGCCATGGCAGTTGAATTGCAGCCAGCCGTGCTTCGGATGCCAGGCACCAGGCCCTCCAAGTCGCTCGTCACCGTAGTCAGCTTTCTCCGGCAACGGCCCAGTGGCCAAGTTGGTCTCTTGCTTCTTTCCATGCGTGGGCCTTTCTGAGCCTTCAGCCAAACAAGCAACTCGTTCAGCAGGTCGTGCGCGCAACTCCGTTTCTTTTCTTTCAGACCGTTCAGATTCTTTCTCATCTTGGCGGGGACAAAGGTGCCTGAATCCTCCACCCAGAAGCCTTGCTTGGTGTTGTTGTTGATGCAGCTGGGCGGCCCCAAATTACTTCAGCCTGGGCGCTTTCGGCCCTTCAAGAGGCGCCTCCTCTCGCCAATTCCTTCACTTCCGTCGCATCGCGCCCTTGCACCCCGCAGGTTTATTCTCACGTTTGTGGCCCTGCAAACATCTCGGCTTTCACCCTGTCCTTCTCCTGCCCTTTCCTCCGCCCGATCCCAAACCCAAACCGACCAGCGGCAGGCCTGTGTCGCCAGCAGTCACTTGCCCAACCACCCGAGCCTCACGTAAGTCATCTTCCGCGTCATTATTTTTCCTTGTCGCTCACCTTCTGGGTGCCTCTCATGTATACGCCCTGTCCACAGCCGTCATGCCAGGTTTTTTTTGGAAGGCTCGCAGAGCACTTCCTTCAAACCTCAATCTTCAGTGCTCGGGTCGCAGAGCTTGAGGCTCGACCTGTCCGCCCCACCTCCCTTTCCACCCTCATGAGCAAACGGATCTGCCCGCCTCCAAGAAACTAACTACTGCGTTGCGAGCCGCCTCGGGACTTAACAAGGGTGTGTAGCAGTATCTCACGCCACACGCAGGGAATGCCAAAGTCAGACCAAGCTGTCAAGTTTCGATTTCAGAGGAGGACCCTTGTATATGCAGGCCAAGCATATATTGCAAAGGAAAACACATGTGTATGCGTTGACTTGCACAAAGTGCACTTATGTTGTTGAACCATTTTGGTGCGTTCCTATATGCGAGTGTCCACTTTCAGGAGTGCAGCCCAAGCCGTCCACCCCCGAGGTCCGGATGGCGCCCGGGGCCTGGCGGAGGGCCTCCGCGGCCTGGTGCAGCTCCAGCAGCTGACGCTGAGTCTGGGGGACAACAAGATCGGCCGGGAAGCTCAGGGGGGGAAAGGCGCCGGGGCGAGGCACGGCGCCGGGTGGGGCTTAGCAGGGGACCTCGTTTGCGTTGGACCTTCCTGACACTTCCAGGGAAATACTGTTGCTGGAGGCCACAAGTTTCAAGAGCTCCGAAAGCAGGACAGCCACATGCCTGCTCACGCATGCGCCTGGGAACAAGACAGATTGATGAAAGGGCCGCTTCAAGCAAATAATTTCAATCGACGGAGGCGCCGTATAGTCGGACTAAAACGAAGCCACTGCTGGGTGTTTAATTTCATTTTGCGCAGTATACTTCCTCGCTAGTTGGTGTTCGCGCGTATCCAGCATGTTCAATCGCAGGCCAGCTTGAGGGCTAAGTGCTTTGCGCTCACGTTGCGTACCATCGACGCCGCCATGTATTTGTGTTCGGTTCCAGCATGTGTTTTGCACCTGCCTTTTCGGAAGAATTTTGGGTCAATAGAACAAGAGACCAGGCAGATTTTGCTTGATATGGTCAGGTAGTTTTGCAGCGGTTGAGCTAAGGCGGCTCTCCAAATCATGTCAATAGCTGAGCAAGCCCCCGCCTTCCGACCTGTTGTTTGAGACATGAGCCATCTTTTGCCCCGGCAAAATCACACATGGTTGGCCTTGTGGTGGCAAGATGATGTGAGATAGATGGGCCTCTTTGGTGCATGGTTTTGTCTCTTGCAAGCTCCGAACCAGATGAAATCGAAAGTCTAGACATCAAATGTGTCGTGGAGAGGGACCAGCTGCGAGGGACTGGGCGTTTTGGAGGTCAGTTTCGAAGGCCAAGTAAGCTGTAAGCAGGGTTTTAATGTTTCAGTTGGCTGCAGACGGTGCGTACCCTGTCAAGCAGATATGTTCGCTTGGTATGACCGCAGCTTCCAAGCTTTGTTTCAAAAATGGTGAACATGGTCTTAACCGTCCCTGTCTCTTAGCCGCAAGTCGACGCGTGATGGGAAATGCGCCGTTGCCAACATTGACACGGGGCGGAGGCTTGAAGACGGAGCCGCAGTGAGGATGAGCCCACGACCTCGTTCAGCAGGTCGTGCGCGCAACTCCGCTTCTTTTCTTTCTGGCCCAGTTCATACGCGCTTCAGTTCGTGGAGAGGGATGGTTTCGTAGCTGGCCCCAGACCGTTAAGATTATTTCCCATCTTGGCGGGGACAAAGGAGCCTGAATCCTCCATTCAGCAGCCTTGCGGCAGCTGGCGGGCGGACCCAAATTTCTTCAGCCTGGGTGCTCTCGCTTTGGGGCCCTTCAGCAACTGCGCCACATCGTCGTCCAAGAGGCATCTCCTCTTGCCAATTCCTTCACTTCCGTCTGGTTTCTGCTGGCCCCTTCTCACGTTTGTGGCCCTGCAAACATCTCGGCTTTCACCCTGTCCTTCTCCTGCCCTTTCCTCCGCCCGATCCCAAACCCAAACCGACCAGCGGCAGGCCTGTGTCGCCAGCAGTCGCTTGCCCAACCACCCCGGCCTCACGTAAGTCATCTTCCGCGTCATTATTTTTCCTTGTCGCTCACCTTCTGGGTGCCTCTCATGTATACGCCCTGCCCACAGCCGTCATCCCAGGTTTCTTTTCCAGGGTCGCAGCGCACTTCCTTCAAACCTCAAGCTTCAGTGCTCGGGTCGCAGAGTTTGAGGCTCGACCTTGTCCGCCCCACCTCCCTTTCCACCTCCATGACCGGCAGCCTGCCTCCTCATGAGCAAACAGATCTGCCCACCTCCAAGTAACTAACTACTGCGCTGAGGCCAGAACCTACGAGCTGCCTCGGAGTTAACAAGGGTGTGCAGCCGTTTCTCACGCCACACGCAGGGAATGCCAAAGTCAGACCAGGCTGGCAAGTTTCGATTTCAGAGGAGGACCCTTGTATATGCAGGCTAAGCATGTATTGCAAAGGAAAATGCATGTGTATGCGTTGACTTGCACAAAGTGCACTTCTGTTCATATGTTGAACCATTTTGGTGCGTTCCTATATGCGAGTGTCCACATTGGACCCTTGTATATGCAGGCCAAGCATGTATTGCAAAGGAATGTGTATGCGTTGACTTGCACAAAGTGCACTTATGTTGTTGAACCATTTTGGTGCGTTCCTATATGCGAGTGTCCACATTTCAGGAGGTCATCAGCCCAAGCCGGCCACCCCCGAGGTTCGGATGGCGCCCGGGGCCTGGCGGAGGGCCTCCGCGGCCTGGTGCAGCTCCAGCAGCTGACGCTGAGTCTGGGGGACACCGACATCGGCCGGGAAGCCCAGGAAGCAGAGGCGCCGGGGCGAGGCACGGCGCCGGGTGGGGCTTAGCAGGGGACCTCGTTTGCGTTGGACCTTCCTGACACTTCCAGGGAAATACTGTTGCTGGAGGCCACAAGTTTCAAGAGCTCCGAAAGCAGGACAGCCACATGCCTGCTCACGCATGCGCCTGGGAACAAGACAGATTGATGAAAGGGCCGCTTCAAGCAAATAATTTCAATCGACGGAGGCGCCGTATAGTCGGACTGAAACGAAGCCACTGCTGGGTGTTTCATTTCATTGTGCAGTTTACTTCCTCGCTAGTTGGTTTTCGCGCGGGGACCAGCATTTTCAATCGCAGGCCAGCTTGAGGGCTAAGTGCTTTGCGCTCACGTTGCGTACCATCGACGCCGCCATGTATTTGTGTTTTCGGTTCCAGCATGTGTTTTGCACCTGCCTTTTCGGAGGAATTTTGGGTCAATAGAACAAGAGACCAGGCAGATTTCGCTTGATATGGTTAGGTAGTTTTGCAGCGGTTGAGCTAAGGCGGTCCGAATCATGTCAATAGCTGAGCAAGCCCCCGCCTTCCGACCTGTTGTTTGAGACATGAGCCATCTTTTGCCCCGGCAAAATCACACATGGTTGGCCTTGTGGTGGCAAGATGATGTGAGATAGATGGGCCTCTTTGGTGCATGGTTTTGTCTCTTGCAAGCTCCGAACCAGATGAAATCGAAAGTCTAGACATCAAATGTGTCGTGGAGAGGGACCAGCTGCGAGGGACTGGGCGTTTTGGAGGTCAGTTTCGAAGGCCAAGTAAGCTGTAAGCAGGGTTTTAATGCTTCAGTTGGCTGCAGACGGTGCGTACCCTGTCAAGCAGATATGTTCGCTTGGTATGACCGCAGCTTCCAAGCTTTGTTTCAGAAATGGTGAACATGGTCTTAACCGTCCCTGTCTCTTAGCCGCAAGTCGACGCGTCATGGGAAATGCGCCGTTGCCAACATTGACACGGGGCGGAGGCTTGAAGACGGAGCCGCAGTGAGGATAAGTCCACGACCTCGTTCAGCAGGTCGTGCGCGCAACTCCGCTTCTTTTCTTTCTGGCCCAGTTCATACGCGCTTCAGTTCGTGGAGAGGGATGGTTTCGTAGCTGGCCCCAGACCGTTAAGATTATTTCCCATCTTGGCGGGGACAAAGGAGCCTGAATCCTCCATTCAGCAGCCTTGCGGCAGCTGGCGGGCGGACCCAAATTTCTTCAGCCTGGGTGCTCTCGCTTTGGGGCCCTTCAGCAACTGCGCCACATCGTCGTCCAAGAGGCATCTCCTCTTGCCAATTCCTTCACTTCCGTCTGGTTTCTGCTGGCCCCTTCTCACGTTTGTGGCCCTGCAAACATCTCGGCTTTCACCCTGTCCTTCTCCTGCCCTTTCCTCCGCCCGATCCCAAACCCAAACCGACCAGCGGCAGGCCTGTGTCGCCAGCAGTCGCTTGCCCAACCACCCCGGCCTCACGTAAGTCATCTTCCGCGTCATTATTTTTCCTTGTCGCTCACCTTCTGGGTGCCTCTCATGTATACGCCCTGCCCACAGCCGTCATCCCAGGTTTCTTTTCCAGGGTCGCAGCGCGCTTCCTTCAAACCTCAAGCTTCAGTGCTCGGGTCGCAGAGTGTGAGGCTCGACCTTGTCCGCCCCACCTCCCTTTCCACCTCCATGACCGGCAGCCTGCCTCCTCATGAGCAAACAGATCTGCCCACCTCCAAGTAACTAACTACTGCGCTGCGGCCAGAACCTACGAGCTGCCTCGGAGATAACAAGGGTGTGCAGCCGTTTCTCACGCCACACGCAGGGAATGCCAAAGTCAGACCAGGCTGGCAAGTTTCGATTTCAGAGGAGGACCCTTGTATATGCAGGCCAAGCATGTATTGCAAAGGAAAATGCATGTGTATGCATTGAATTTTGGTGCGTTCCTATATGCGAGTGTCCACATTTCAGGAGGTCATCAGTCCAAGCCGTCCGCCCCCGAGGTCCGGATGGCGCCCGGGGCCTGGCAGACGGGCTCCAAGGCCTGGCGCAGCTCCAGCAGCTGACGCTGAGTCTGGGGGACAACGACATCGGCCGGGAAGCCCAGGAAGCAGAGGCGCCGGGGCGAGGCACGGCGCCGGGTGGGGCTTAGCAGGGGACCTCGTTTGCGTTGGACCTTCCTGACACTTCCAGGGAAATACTGTTGCTGGAGGCCACAGGTTTCAAGAGCTCCAGAAGCAGGACAGCCACATGCCTGCTCACACATGCGCCCAGGAGCAAGACAGATGAATGAAAGGGCCGCTTCAAGAAAAGCATTTCAATCGACGGAGGCGCCGTCTAGTCGGACTGAAACGAAGCCACTGCTGGGTGTTCAATTTCATTGTGCAGTATACTTCCTCGCTAGTTGGTTGTGCGCGTGTACAAGGTATTTTCAATCGCAGGCCAGCTTGAGAGCTAAGTGCTTTGTGCTCACGTCGCGTATCATCGGCACCGCCATTAATATGTGTTCGTTTCCAGTATGTGTTTTGCACCTGCCTTTTCAACAAGAGGAGAGAGGACTCCTGGGTCAAAGAACAACAGGCCAGGCAGATTTCGTTTGGTGCGTTCCTATATGCGAGTGTCCACATTTCAGGAGGTCATCAGCCCAAGCCGTCCGCCCCCGAGGTTCGGCTGGCGCCCGGGGCCTGGCGGAGGGCCTCCGCGGCCTGGTGCAACTCCAGCAGCTGACGCTGGATCTGCAGCTCAACGACATCGGCCGGGAAGCCCAGGAAGCAGAGGCGCCGGGGCGAGGCACGGCGCCGGGTGGGGCTTAGCAGGGGACCTCGTTTGCGTTGGACCTTCCTGACACTTCCAGGGAAATACTGTTGCTGGAGGCCACAGGTTTCAAGAGCTCCAGAAGCAGGACAGCCACATGCCTGCTCACACATGCGCCCAGGAGCAAGACAGATGAATGAAAGGGCCGCTTCAAGAAAAGCATTTCAATCGACGGAGGCGCCGTATAGTCGGACTGAAGCGAAGCCACTGCTGGGTGATTAATTTCATTTTGCGCAGTATACTTCCTCGCTAGTTGGTTTTCGCGCGTGCCAGCATTTTGAATCGCAGGCCAGCTTGAGGGCTAAGTGCTTTGCGCTCACGTTGCGCACCATCGCCGCCGCCATGTATTTGTGTTTTCGGTTCCAGCACGTGTTTTGCACCTGCCTTTTCGGAGGAATTTTGGGTCAATAGAACAAGAGACCAGGCAGTTTTCGCTTGATGTGGTCAGGTAGTTTTGCAGCGGTTGAGCTAAGGCGGCTCCCCGAATCATGTCAATAGCTGAGCAAGCCCCCGCCTTGCGACCTGTTGTTTGAGACATGAGCCATCTTTTACCCCGGCAAAATCACACATGGTTGGCCTTGTGGTGGCAAGATGATGTGAGATAGATGGGCCTCTTTGGTGCATGGTTTTGTCTCTTGCAAGCTCGGAACCAGATGAAATCGAACGTCTAGACACCAAATGTGTCGTGGAGAGGGACCAGCTGCGAGGGACTGGGCGTTTTGGAGGTCAGTTTCGAAGGCCAAGTAAGCTGTAAGCAGGGTTTTAATGCTTCAGTTGGCTGCAGACGGTGCGTACCCAGTCAAGCAGATATGTTCGCTTGGTATGACCGCAGCTTCCAAGCTTTGTTTCAGAAATGGTGAACATGGTCTTAACCGTCCCTGTCTCTTAGCCGCAAGTCGACGCGTGATGGGAATTGCGCCGTTGCCAACATTGACACGGGGCGGAGGCTTGAAGACGGAGCCGCAGTGAGGATGGGTCCACGACTGGCAACAGGCATCCAACAAATGAATCCACCGTGCCCATGGACTTTGGGCACCCTGTCGCATCGATATAGACAAGGCGCGCATTCTCTTCAGCCGTCATCCTGCAGCGCCAAAGGTCAAGTGACTCCGCGCTAGTCGTAGCGGAGGCCAGTGCTCCAGCCGTCCGAGTCCGAGTCTTGCCCTTGGCTTCTTTGTGATTTTTAAGGTGCCCAGAAGGGGGTTTCTCTTGCTTCTTTGCATGCGTGGGCCTTTCTGAGCCTTTAGCCAAACAAGCAACTCGTTCAGCAGGTCGTGCGCGCAACTCCGCTTCTTTTTTTTCTTTTTTTTTTTTTTTTTTTTTTGGTTTTTTCTGGCCCTCTGGCCCAGTTCATACGCGCTTCAGTTCGTGGAGAGGGATGGTTTCGTAGCTGGCCCCAGACCGTTAAGATTCTTTCCCATTTTGGCGGGGACAAAGGAGCCTGAATCCTCCACCCAGCAGCCTTGCTGCAGCTGGCGGGCGGACCCAAGTAACTTCAGCCTGGGTGCTCTCGCTTTGGGGCCCTTCAGCAACTGCGCCACATCGTCGTCCAAGAGGCATCTCCTCTTGCCAATTCCTTCACTTCCGTCTGGTTTCTGCTGGCCCCTTCTTTTCAATACAGCCTCGTGGCATTTCTCTGCCAGCTTTCCACCTTCACCTCAAGTTTCGCAAGGCAAACCTCCCTCCTCCGCCCCACCTCGCTTGCACCTCCGCAACCGGCTGCCTGCCTCCTCATCAGCAAACGGATTTTCGGCCTCCAAGAAACAAATCACTGTGCCGCGCCCAGAACCTACGAGCCGCCTTGAGACTTAACAAGGGTGTGTAGCAGTTTCTCATGCCGCATGCAGGGAATTTCAAATTCAGACCAAGCTGGCAAGTTTTGATATGTTTCGATTTCATAGCACAAGCGGGTCGCTTTCGGCCCTTCAGCAACCGCGCCACATCGTCATCCAAGAGGCGCCTCCTCTCGCCAATTCCTTCACTTCCGTCGCATCGTACCCTTGGGCCCTGCAAACATCTCGGCTTTCACCCTGTCCTGCTCCGGCCTCTCCCCCAAACCCAAACCGACCAGCGGCAGGCCTGTGTCGCCAGTATTGCCCAACCCCGCAGTCGACCGTCATCCCAGGTTTCTTTTCCAGGCTCGTAGCGCACAAACCTCAAGCTTCAGTGCTCGGGTCGCAGAGTTTGAGGCTCGACCCCGCCTCCCTTTCCACCTCCGTGACCGGCCGCCTGCCTCCTTATGAGCAAAACCAACTACTGCGCCGCGGCCAGAACCTACGAGCCGCCTCGGGACTTAACAAGGTTGTGTAGCAGTATCTCACGCCACACGCAGGGAATGCCAAAGTCAGACCAGGCTGGCAAGTTTCGATTTCAAACGAGGACCCTTGTATATGCGGGCTAAGCATGTATTGCAAGGGAAAATGCATGTGTATGCGTTGACTTGCACAAAGTGCACTTCTGTTCATATGATATGGTCAGGTAGCTTGGCAGAGGATGAGGTTGCCGGCGGAATATGGGTAGAAGGCAGCTCTCCGAATCATGTCAATACCGGCAAAAACCATACATGGTTGGCCCTGTGGTGGCAAGATGATGTGAGATAGATGGGCCTCTGGTTGGCGCGCCTTCTTGGGGCGGATTGGAACTTGGGCATTTGGGACTGGATAGTTCAGTTGTCACTTCCATGTTTTTCTTTTCTCTTGCAAGCTCAGAATCAATCGAAGGTGAAAGTCTAGACTGCTGCTGCTGAGTCTTGTTTTGTACGACAGCATACCCAGGCAATCATGTTTCTTTTCCTTAGGATTTCATCAAATGTGTCGGTCAGTTTCGAAGGCCAAGCAAGCTGCCCCTGCCTGTGCTTTTGCGCGTTTCTTGTTTGCGCCCGCTTTTACCTGTCTCTTGACCATCCAGCTTTGCAGAGGGTCAGAAGCAAGCAATCAAGCGTGTTTAGCTTCCTTCGAGGGGGCACTAAGCAGAGGGTTTCAATGCTTCAGTTGCCTGAGGCCGCAAACGGTGTGAGCCTGGGCGCTTTTGCTTTTGGGCCCTTCAGCAACTGCGCCACATCGTCAGCCATGAGGCGCCTCCTCTCCCGGCCAAGTACCTCATCCAGCAATATCCTCCTCTAGCCCTTTCCTCCGCCCGATCCCAAGCCATCACCAGCAGTCACGTGCTCACGCAGGGCATCTTCCGCGTGCTTCTTTTTCCTTGCCGCTCGGCGCGGCTTACCTCTTACAGAAGTCATCCCAAGTCTTATCAATTCAGCCTGGTGACATCCCTCGGCTAGCAAGGCTTGGCCAGCGCACCTGTGCTCTGGCCGCAGAGCTTGAGGCTCGACCTCCTCCGCCCCACTTCGCTTGCACCTCCGCAGCCGGCTGCCTGCCTCCTTATGAGCAAACGGATCTGCCCGCCTCCAAGAAACAAACTACTGCGTTGCGGTCAGAACCTAAGAGCCGCCTCGGGACTCAACCGGGGTGTGTAGTAGAATCTCACGCGACACGCAGGGAATGCCAAAGTCAGACCAAGCTGGCGAGTTTCGATTTCAGAGGGGGGCCCTTGTGTATGCTGATTTTAAACCAACAGGCTAAGCATGTATGGCAAAGGCAAAGCTTTGTGTACACGTTGACTTGCACAAAGTGCATTCATGTTGTTGGTATGTTGGACCATTTGTCGCATTCAGATGTACTCTGAAGCTGTAGTGTGGGTCCCAGGAACTCATCATCACCGAGGTCCGGATGTCGCCCGGGGCCTGGCAGACGGGCTCCAAGGCCTGGCACAGCTGCAGCAGCTGACGCTGAATCTGGAATGGAACAGGATCGGCCGGGAAGCCCAGGCGGGGCAGGGCGGGGCAGAGGCGCAGCTTACGCTGCGTGGTGCCGTGCGCCTGGTGGGGCGGAAGCTCAATGTGTGTTTGCGTCGGACATTTCAGGGACTTCCGGAGGAATGCTGTTGCTGGAGGCCGCAAGTTTCAAGAGCTCCGAAAGCAGGGTAGTCGTATTGCCTGCTGACGCATGCTCCCGGGAACAAGACAGATTGATGAAAAGGCTGCTTCAAGCAAAGAGTTTCAGGAATTCGGACATGGCGGAGGCGCCGTCTAGTCGGACTGAAACGAAGCCACTGCTGGGTGTTTAATTTCATTGTGCAGTATACTTCCTCGCTAGTTGGTTGTGCGCGTGTACAAGGTATTTTCAATCGCAGGCCTGCTTGAGAGCTAAGTTCTTTGTGCTCACGTCGCGTATCATCGGCACCGCCATTAATATGAGTTCGTTTCCAGTATGTGTTTTGC